AATGTATTTTGAAAATACTAAATAGTTGGAAATTAGTTGAAAAATATAGAAATGGGTTTGGAGACTAGAGTCAATCGGTTAAAGTTAAACTTCACGGTCGTCCATTTTTTTTATCAGTTATTATTTAACATTGATAGACATAGATAATTGATAAGATGTAGGTATTGCTTAAATTAATATGACCGAAAAAGTTCTCAGTTCCACGTTCCTTTAAGCAATTGTAGTTATTTGACAATTTGACCAATTGTTGGAATGATATAAAACTGGTCAACGAGGACCAACGATTATTTAGTTTTTTGTGCAAATAATATGCGTTTATATCCTTTTCATAAATGTTAAATATATGGTATTAATGTCGGTATTCGAAATATACATGTAATATTGTAATCGGACTAGTCGCATTCAAAAATAAAAATATTACTTACCAATATTTTTAATATGCAATTATATTATTTTACTCATTGTTATTTTACAAAATGAATTATTATAATTTAATTTCGAAACAACATTAAAATATAAAAATATTATATAAATCAATAGAATACTGGCTATTATAAAATACTATAAATATTTCTAAAAATGTTATTTATTAAATAGTACTATAGTAGTGTAAAAAGATAACATATCAAACATTTAAATTTGTTTTTGACAAAAAGATTTTAATTTGCAATATCTTTAAAAAATTTGCTGGAAAATGAATGTATATGCCAACAAAAGCGTTCTTATTGATAACTGGTACGAAGATAAATATGGCACATTCCCGTCAAAAAATGAAGGTAATTGGAATTCAACTTATCAAAGAGATTATCGTGAACATGTTTTGCCTATCCGAGATAACAGGGTTATGCGGAATATAAGAGAAAGATCATTGGTAATTTTTGTAAATTATTTAACTGGTATTTCAAGATTAAAAAATTAAAAAAAATAAATTTATTGAATGTTAAATAAGTATACATAATATGTATATAATATACATTTAGGGAATGCCCATTGATTTATTCCGTGAACACGGTGTCCACAATTCCTACAATAAAAACATGAGTTCCCTGTACGATTTAAATTGCATGGCTGCTTACAATCCACCATTGTACAGACGTTACAATTCAAGATCTGGACTCTGGAAACCTGAGCAAAATTTCACAGCCAATTATGGACCAGGACGAAGTGATTTGTTGAAAAAAAAGCAGACAACTTGGAACAGTATTATAAACGAATTCATACCTAGTACAGAATATCAGTGTAGTTATACAACAAGATAGATGAAAATAATCATGTGCACAAATCGTATTTAAAAATAAAAAAAATGATTCTTACATTAATGTTAAATAATAATAAGATACACTTATATTACTGTATAATATATGTGTTAAGATTATCTAGGTATATGGTGATATTTCAGGTATAATTAGAATATGGAAATAATATATAAGAACCTATATAATAATAATCCATTAACAAAAATTAAAACTTAAAATTAAATTGTATTAATACTATATCATCACACATTTCAAAATCAAAATCATATTTAGTCATTATTCAACTTATGGGTGTCAAAAAAAGTGGGCTAGTATAGGTAACCTCTCTTCTGTCGTAAATAATGTATGTAATACTATCTGTTTCTTCTGATGGTTGATGTAAAGATATTGCATAGGTCAACGTAATAATGGATGTGTTAAATTTACTATTTACTGTATTACCAAGTATATTTTATGATATTTTTATACTGATATGTTTATACTGATATTTGTATACTGTATATTGCTTTTAAAGTAATTCATTTTACTATTAGTAAAAGTTTTTTTTTTTAAATTCAATTTCAATAAGAACTACAACTTATGAGGAATCATGTATTAAATGCTCTATCCTTGGCTCTAAAAATGTAAAGTTGAAAATCGTATACATTTTTAAATATAGGTACAGAATAATTTGAAAATTTAAGTGATTTTACAAATTACGTTAACATTTCAACTTTAAATGCGTAGGTATAAAAATACCACAATAAATAATAATTGTCTATAAATAGCTTAAAATAAATCTAAATAGTTTGAACATTTCATTGAGTAGGTATATAAAATTATAATTTAAGCAACAGGGGAAACTTTCAAGTTTGTACAGTTATTAATTTTTGAATTATAACAAAAAGCTAAAATCATTATTTTATGCATAGATATCAAATTTTGTCAAAATTTAAACTTCAGACCCCAACCAAAACATATTTGTTGAATTACGATCAACTTTTGTTTTTATAATTTTGTAATCAATATTTCTTGGATGGAACCTTGTATTACAATTTTTAATCTTATGTTTTCATTTTTCAACAACAAAATAATTTTCACATTTTCGGGATTTCGACGAAAGCTTACGGCATACATATAAGTATACAATGCTCATAAAAAAAATATTTTAGATTTAAGCTCAATTTTTTTTTCAGTATCAGCAACTTATTAGGAAAATTGCAAAACATTTTCAAGATTTTGACTGAACATTAATTTTTTTTTGTCGTTTATAAATTATTAGCCAATTGGCATCACAAAAATACTTTACTCTATGTACTATATAACTTGGTCAGCGTGTAACGATTTCTTGTTTTGTCAGCGCCTTCTAACTTATGTTCTAACTTACATTCTAACTTATGAACATAGTTGCATACGTACAAGCAAGTCGTATATCGATATTTTAATTTTACAAATTACAATATTATTTAGAACTTTTTTAATAAACCAAATTTTTTTAGCACAATGATAAATATAAGTTTAATAAAAAATAAAAATACGACACGCAGTAAACGCTAGTGGATTTGGAATAATGACATTTTTTCAATAATTTTATTTTGCCAGCTAAAAACGTAGTTATCAGGTTGTTAACATATATTACGAAGTATGCGTAGGTACTCCCAGACACCCTTAGCGTTGTTTTGAGAGTTTCTTGAGCCTCTCATATTTTCCGTTATGCCACGGAACAACTTGTCTTTAAAATAACTAGTTTAGCTTACTACTGAATATACCTACCAGTAAGTTTGAAAAGAGCATGTGCTAGTAGCCTCACTTGCACTCGATTTACATAAGATATTATGCAGTATGCAGTCTTAAATAAAAAAAAAGGCATGACTTATTATTATAGCAAATTTAACACACACATTTTTTGATAGCCATTTGGCTGTACTGATTAATTATAAAAGGGATAGCTATATATAATTGTACCCATATATAGTGACATAATGGTTATTACCTACAGGTATGTATTACTCGCATTAGCTGAGAATATAAATGGCCATACATTTATAGAATAAAAACGTTGGTATGCTTGTATTATTAGGTATCTGGTATAGTAATATTTTCTATAATATCACTAAATATATGCAACACGAATTTTAAAGAAAAACAATAAAAATAAAAATAAAAATATATTTTTTCATAACAGAAAAAAATATAATATGAGTATATGACCAGTATATTATGGATAATAGAAAATTATAAGAATGACAAAAATTCAGAAAATCTGTTTATAAGAGAGAAACTTTTCAAAATAATAATAATTTGAATTTAAATTTGAGTGCACCGCACAAAGCACAGACAATTTTTAACTCTTCCTTTTTGTTGTTATTTTTTTAAAAATCTTCAAATGCTCATTAGTACTATGGATACGCGTGGTACTTATCAGAAGAAAAATTAAAGTCTATCACTTCATCTTATAGAAAATTAAGTACCTTCATATCATTATTATTATTATTATTTATTCATTTTGAACAATTTTGTGTATTTTACTTAGTATTAATTATTGTTTAAGGGGCCTGCTCGCGATTTTTCAAATTTTCCGCAATTCTATAAAATTTGAAAATTAAATTTTATATTTTAGTTGCCACCTCAATTATAAGACTTTTTCACTAATCTACTACCCAATACCTATTTAGGGGGGGGTTGATAGGGTGTATTATATCGGTCAAAACACAGTTTACAGGAAAAACTCTCACACCTCGTAGATTGGTCCGATTTCCGTAATTTTTTTTTTGTTAGATAGAGGAATATTTTTTACAGGGCGCATTGGACTTCGATTTTTGATTACGTCGCTAAAAACAAAAAATAATACAAAAACTAAAAAGTTGTAAAAATTGATTAAATTCAAACTTGTAACATAAGACTTAGAAAAATAATGTTGAAAATCCAAGTCCAATGCGCCCTGTAAGAAGTCTTCCTCTATCTAACAAAAAAAAAATTACGGAAATCGGACCAATCTACGAGGCGTGAGAGTTTTTCCTGTAAGGCATGTTTTTGAGCAAAAAAACAGGTCGCGTGCAGGCCCCTTAATGATATATTTATGTATAATTTTGTATGAAATAATTTTTTTCTAAAACAGAACATTTTATTCTAGAATAAAATAAGAAAATTGAGTTTTGAGTAAACTTATAATAAAACAATAGGAATTGGATATGATTGATCATCTCAAGTTGTACCTAGAACCGGAATCTTTGCATGCCTATATGATTGCTTAAGATACTTTGTTCAATTAATTTCTCATACATAAGTCTACATATTAAAAAAAAAATAGTTTTTCAAAAAATAATCAATCCATTAAGTAATAATGATGGTGAAAGATATAGATATTATGTAAATGACGTTAATATCGAGAGGTTTTTCGAGACATCCCTAGCTAGGACGCTAGGAAGATTTGATAAAAGAAAATTGATTAAAAAAAGGGGGAGGGGAATATTATTTTTCAATATGATTTCTTGTAACTTGAACTTTACCCACTTTTTCTGAACATAAGTAAAATATAATAAAATAATGCATTTATAAAATGAATACATTTATACATTTCCATGCTAAACAAGTAAACACTATGTATCTTACAGTCATACGGACATTAGTTCTTATTGCACACATAATTAGCAGCAATTAATAATAAATAACATAATATAAAAAAACTAAATAGCTCTTTTTAGTTTTATAATTATAGTAATAACAATAATAATAATATAAATACTAAATGTAAGGAATATAATATTAATCGCCCGCGGTATTGCACACGATCGGACACAGCAACGCGGTCATACCAAAACGTCCAGTCTGGCCATGCGCCCAGTCCTGAATGTTGGAGTGTAATGCCCACAGGACATAACCATCCTTGGCTGCACCTGTCGGTTTGGTGCTCGCGTAATCAACGGACGTTATTTCCATGCAGCCCGGGGACAGTCGACCACCACTGGGACGTTTGAGACGGCCGTCTGTCCCGTTTTTGATGAACGCATCACTGGCGTTGTTACAACTTTCGCATGGATCATCGTCGTCATCGTTGCAGCCATAATCTGTCTCACATCCCGTGTCCTTCCCGCGTCCCGTGCCTTTCCCGTGTCCCTTGTCCTTCCCATGTCCTTTTTCCTTCCCACGGCCCGTTTCCTTTCCATGTTCCGTGTCCTTTCCGCGCCCCATTTCCTTCCCACATCCGGTGTCTCTTCTATATCTTGTATCAGGTGGCAACCCGCAGACACCGATGACGCACGAACGACCACTGTGCTGGACGCTCATCACCCTCGTCACGTGGCCGCGCACGACCAGGTCGAAGTATTCTGAGTGAAACCTTCGGCGGGCGTCCCAGACGTACAAGTCTGACCGGCGAATGGCCGCGGGATCTCGGAAGTACCACTGCATACCGTACGCCGAATCGACCGGAACCAAGGGCCTACCGACGCTGCCGCCGCCACTGATCGGTTTCCGGCCCACGTTCATCACGCACTGGTTGCTGCCGGTCGACGGGCAACTGGTCAACTTCAAATCGACGGATCTTCTAGTCGTGCCGTGGTCCCGAAATGCAGTCACTGGGATCCGGAACGCATCCGGGTTTCGGCCGTACGTGAAGTACAGGTGTCGCTGCTTTTGCCGACCACCGAAGTCGTCCAATAGCGCCATGTGCAGAGTGTTCCGGCTCGGGTCCAGATCGCCGTCACAGCTGTCATCGTCCTCTGTAGCCGAAACCGACGCCGGCAGGATCACGCGTATCCCACGGCATTCTTCCACCAGCCACACCACGATCAGACCTTTGAACCTGTCATGGGTGCATGCGTCGCCCACGTACACCGCCACTGGTTTTGGTTTGTTTGAACTTGACGTGTCATTCGAATTTCGACGATTGCGGACGATTGGAGGATCATCTTCACTAGATCTGCTGCACTTTCTATTACATCTACCACTACCGTTGTAATTATTCTTACTGCGTATGTTACTGTTATCACTGTTACCGCCGACGTCGAATTTGTCCTTCGTTGGCAGTTTGTCTCTCATAACTTTCTTCGCCATACCGTTGTCGCCAGTTCTCGTCCTTTTCTGTGTTCTAGACTTTCCCGCCACGGTGTCTTTGTCACTGTTGTCGTCGTATTCTACAACGATGGAGCACAGCGATCGAACTATTGTCTTTAACTTATCTTCATGGGTGGGTATGGGTTTCAATAGCTCTCCGAGCATTATCTTGTGTACTGTCTATAAAATAAATAATGAGGTTTACTGATTGTAGTATTATAACGCTCGTTAAAATGTTGTCTATACGCTATACACAATATTAATATGGTTATCTAATGATTGACATAAAACATATTTTCGACTGGACAAAAGACAAAAGGGGTAACTGAAAGTTTTACTACTTTTCAGGAGAGCGAAATTAAAATGTTCATACATTTCAAGTATCTATGGTTATTTGTTTTTTAGGTGCATTATTCCAACATAGTAATCATAGGTATGTATTTTCTATACGTTTCTATTCTTAAGTTTTTTTCTTAGTTTTTAACCTAAATACCGAAAAAACCTTAAATATCGTTTCGTTCGTGGCTTTATATCAAAAAATACGAAATATTTTTAAATAATTATGGATCCTTCAAAAATATATTTCCTTAACTTATAAAACTATTGTTTGATAAATATTTTTGAATTTATTATTTTTACAATACATAATGTACCTATTATTGTATGTTCTACTTACAACACCAGTGGTTACATCGATACCCAAAACTTTTGGGTCATTGTATTTTTTTCGTTTACTAGCACTATCAGGTGACGGTAACGTATTGACAATGCCAATATCAAGAATCCACAGTATGCCATCTGGACCCAAGTACACGTCTACTACGTTCACAAGACATTCACTATCACACGAACTTTCTTTGCCTTTATACTGTGTTGATTGCTTGGTAAATTGGCAATGTGCATGGAGTGATGGATATGGCGTTACCGGATGATAACCATCATCGTTATTGCGTTTGTGTTGGGTATTCAAACTGTTGTTTGAAACCGTGGAAGTTGACGGACAATCAGTTAATGGAACATAGCCTAGAGTAAACGGTACACCTGGCCTGTACCGCATAAAAACATATTTTAAATCATACAGGCATTCAAAAAAATATAATCTATATTTCATTACTGTTATTCATATAAGACAGTAAAATTAATTTACTCTAAATACAGAGTAGTAATCCTATAAATGTATAATATTGTTTAGGTACATTGTACATTTGTAAATTATTATTTATGACTGATAATAATTATTAATTAGGAGTATCATAATACAAAATGTTATTTACTATTGTTAGTCTTTTTGAAATGTTTATCTATACCTAATACCTATATAATAATAAATATTAAATACACACTTCAGAATAGATTAAACAGATAATCAATGTAACCAGATTACAAATCTAAACAGTTATAAATTTGTGAAAATCATAAATTCATTGATAACACAGCACCTACAATTATTGGTATTATCAATAAAACTCAAGGACAATTTATTTTAAATGGAAATAATATAGGTATATTCCTATAAGGATATAAATACAAATATAGGTACACAATTAGTATAATTTATTTCACCGTATGTTGCACATATTACCGGTAAGAAAAAACTTTAGGCTTCTGGAATCACTAGCTAAATCGCTCAATTAGAGCTTCCCGTGAGTATATCTTCACCACCATCAAATTCATCTTTACCGCCACTTTAGTCAAAACATTTTAATATCTTTAAACTGTTTATATATTTTCGTATTTGTTAATCGTGCATAAATAAATATTATAGGGAAATATATCCTTATGACTACTACCACCAAGAGCAATTTAAAATAAAAACAAAAAAATACATTAGCTAAAATTTAGTTTTTAAATAATTTTTTTAAATATTGTTTGCTTTATATGAGAATGAGAAATTTATTATATATTTACATATTTTAATATTATAAATAGATAACAAAATGTTAAATATCTCAGCTTACTTTGCAATTAATATAAAAACATTTTCGTCCGTAATTCCCGAATAAATAAATTAAAAGTTTAGTAAAGGTTAGGGTAAAGTTTATAAGCTTATTACAAGGCTTAAAGTGAAGCAGATAATCAAAGTGTGTTTGTAATTTGTTTTAATATTAAACATAATTACAAATTATTAAAATTAACACATAGTGTAATTACTGTTATTAAAATAAGTTCTTTAAATAAATACAATGTATATATATTTAAATAGATAATAATTAAACATTTAACAGTACCTACTATCAGATAATAAGATAATCATAAATTTAACAAAAACCATTTTAAGGATTTTACAGAATATAGTAGTAGGTAATCCATTTAATGAAATCGACCTTTTCACGAAAAACTTATCAGTGATTATAATTAATTACGTACTATTATCTTAAAATGAAATCTATTTATTTTAAACTCTGTAAAATATGGAATGAAATTCATCAAGTGGACACTTTTTCATGAATTCAAGTCTAAAATTTGATATCATGTAATATTTCTCATCATGCGGCCATCCACTTTGTCTAATTCAATCTTTATATTGCAATATTTTCATTGATTATTATATCATGGTAATATGGCCGATATTTTGACTTATATGATATTATGACAATTTTTACAGCTGTACGTGTTAGTTTAATATAATAAAATAAGCGTATACCTATATATATTATATAAACTATACACTGTATAGTGTATAATATATATTAAACTTATTGCCGTGGACGGAAAATCTCCAGGAAACTATACTAACTAGTATAATATAATCTCTCCACTATCTATAGATATTATTAAATAACACACAAAAATTAGCCCTAATATATGAAATCGGCTCAATTCGCATAGGTCCAGTCAGTGATTCCCACATCGCCACCCTGCTCAGTCCACCCCCTATAGCCCTATCTGTACATGTGTATTATGTAAGTACCATACACTCGTACACCTACCTATAAAAAATTTAAAACACGTATTATTTTTAAAATGTTATAATATGGATGTTAATAATTAGGCTTATCAAAAACATTAAGCTAAATACAGTACTTTTTACATTTCGGAAAACAGTCATAGTCACAAATATACATAAATACAAAGTGTGTGCTTAATTTAAGATAATATGTGTACCACCTACGACCTACCTAATTAAATGTAAAATAAATGTGTATAATTTAATCTATAAGTAATAATAATATACTATACCTAAGTGTAAAACATTGGTTTCCATTGTATGTAATGGTCGACTTTTCGTGAAAATTATGATTTCATTAGGTATGGTTACGGCACATAAGTACCTACCATACTATAAACGTGCAAAAATCAAATGAAAAAAATGTAACCTATAATAATTTATCTATAATTATATGTTTTATTATAACTTACAGTAATATTATAGACAAATAACAATGTGTCGTTATTACCTATGATTTATGATTGCATACCAATAAATATTATTTACTTTAAAACATCGTTAAGCAATGATGAAAAGTCATATTAAATCAGACCAAAGTGCAGAATAATTGCTGCAGGTAAGTCATAGGTAACCACGGTGGTGTGTTGGTGAGCAGTTGTACAAACATTCTTCTCAACCAGATGTCTATTATAGCAGGTGGGTATACTATGCGAAATTTCTCAACACACGACGTATCGACAACAATAATACTATCAAATATCGACGTACTTATATCTCGGGGACACGATGAAAGCCCTGTCTCCGGCCATTTGCATACGAGTGAAAACCAGGTTGTCCGGCACGTAATAAATGTGCGGCGGCGGCTTCGGCGGCGGACTGTCTGCGTCGCAATATGACGTCGTCCCGTCGAGGTCACCCTTAGCCGGCCATGTCACGTAATGTCCGTTCAAAAACCTCGGCATCAGACGATTTTGGTGTCTTTGGTCGTCATTATCGGTGGTTGCCCCGCCGACACGGGGTCCGATGTAGGAAATAATAATAACGGCGATGGTAAGACGACATGACAGTAGTGAATAATAATTGTTGAACATTGTGCGGATATCATTGAATTGTTCTTCTGAGCACTTGTCATCTGCAGAATTTTTATGGAAAAGCATTGATTCACCGTGTTGTTGACAGGTGAAACAAGCGTCATATGATATTTTGGACCGACATTTTTCAAGAAAAAATAAATTTAAACGTATGTATTTAATACCTATTACTAATAGAAACCATGTAGAAAGTAGTATATGATTACTGACTTATAGAAACGATGGCGACGGTAAACATATATAATTTATTCGTTATTTTTAATGATTTCGAATGAAACTGATTCTTAGTTAAGTCGTTGTTATGATTTACTACAGATCAGGATTGAAGATAAATATCAAATTCTCGTTAAGTTAATGCTGTTTATAACATTGCCTAAATGTAGCTCCCTATAAAAAATCCAAGCCATGAAGGTACCTATGATATATTGTGGTATTTACCTGGAAGTAAAATACGATTTTATTGAAATTGTTGATATATCTAAATCAAAATTCGATCGAATAGTTTCTAAGTCATTAAAATGTATATGAAGATAATATTGGTAGTTAATTATACCTACCATATATTAATTTATCGCTACCTATCACCAATATGCGATTAATGTCATTAAGAAATACGTATTTTTGGGAGGAAGTTTGTACAAGTATCTTATTCCAACCAGAACTGGGATCATACAAAAATACTTTTCAAATACCTAAAAATAATAAAACAGGAAGTAGACCCATCTTTTTATGAACAATTTTTATTTGAAGTTTGAAAGTTTCCTATACATAATATGTATAGTGTATACACTAACATCAGTTTACTGATTTAGCGTGTACTCTATAGTCTATAAAATTACTGAATTACTAGAGACAGGTACTTTAAAATTAATCAAAGACAAAAGTAAAATAAAATATTAATGACTTTCAAAAATATTTTTTCTTCGACCAAATAATTTGATCGTTTTTTGTAAATTTTATTATTTGTCGAATGATAATCAACCCGTCATAGAAATATTCATAAATTTACAATAAATTATAATCACAGTTATGGACCGGTACTATCATTGTTATACAATTTTATTTTTTACAACATTATTACTATATACCTAATATACATAAATATATAATTTAAGTTTAATAAATCACTGTTTCATCACCAATTAGGGCGATAAATATAGAGAAAATCCGTAACGATAATGAAAACTTTTTTCGTCTATCATTCAAATTCATATTTTAGTTCGTTATATTTATCATTATTATTATTATTATTATTGTTAAAGTAAATACCTAATGATATTTCATAAAAGTCTCGATATAATTATAGAATATTGATTGCAAAGTTGTGTTTTCAAAAAATGGATATAAACTTACTTTAAAAATAAGAGGCACAAATATTGGTATACTGACCCTAAAATATAATCAGCCAATTGATTAGTGATTACTGATCTTAAAATGGAAATTTAGTTTTAGGCGCAATTGGTTCATGCCCTAAATTACAATAGGCAGTCAACAGATATGATACACGATTCTATTTCCGAAATTACGGTAAAAGTATAAAACACAAGTACTTAAAAATATCTCTTTGATAATTTTGTTTCTGTTTAATTGTTCTTATCTTATTAAAATAAAGTTGAAATAAAAACGCAATATCAATCGATTCAAGAAGTTAGACCTTTTTAACAAGATGCTTAAAGTTGTTTTAATATGTTTAATAAAACCATTACATTATAGGAACTTTCGTCCAATAAATTTTAATCTAATAAGAAGAATAAAATGATAAAATACAACACAATTATTCAGCTTATCGCGGTGTTGCAGGTGACAGGGTAAATAAGTACACGTAGGTAAATAAAATATTCAAACATACCTACAGGTATCCTTATATAGCTAGGTATACAATTGAAGAACTAAAAATTTCCAAGGATTAAAATTGGTTGTTACTTGTTGAATAGTTAACTGTTGTATTTATTGTATTTATTGTAAAGACCGGATTTATATTCTCTTAAAATACCTAAAATATGATGCTAATATTCTCTAAAAAAACCTTTAAATATTCTCATTATATTCTCTTAAAAATTTAAAAAATATGCTAAAATATGCAAAATATGCAAAAACAATCAATAAACATCATTATTTGCTTTAATATGCATTTAAAATTTTTTTTTCAACATTATTTTTATAGTGAGGTATTAATATTAGGTATTGAAAGTTGCGTATTCTAATGAAATACTATTGGATTTTAGAAAAATTGGAAATAATAAAAAAAAAATTGTAAATTTTCAAAAAAATTTTTCCTGGGTACCGTAATATCAAAATTAAAAATAAATACAAAATAAATAATTTAAGATAAATTTTTCTCTCACAATTTATGAAATATTCCAGAATATGCTAAATGGGTTAAATATTCTCTAACCCATGAAATATTCTCAAATATGAAAAAAAAACTTCTTTCTACGCATTCTGAATTGATCGAATCATCCACATTTTTTACTCTCATAGGACTGCATAGACCCAGTAACAATAAGTAAAAACATATAAATGCGGTCTTTATAATTATATGTAATGGATATAAATGATGGATGCAAAAGAATGTTTGATTTTTATTAGCACAATGGTCTATACTCTATATAGATGTTTATATTACCGGTTTGTTTGACATTTTTTCGGGGAATAGTATCGTTAATCGATTATTATTTGGTTCTAAGCCGCATATTGCTCAGAAAAAATTTGTTGCAATACCCGTATAACATTACTAGAGGTACCCGTAAGGTCTATAGTTGTAGTCAAATTGTGTGTAGGTAGTAGGTATAAAGCTCCAAGCTCAATATAAGTATCTATTTTCTGCACGCCTGCACATTATTGGCTTCTCCCAAGCATCATACAATAATTGAGTACAATTCCAATATGAAATATCAAACACATAGAAACAAATCTTAGTGGACGTGTTTGCAATACAGGAAGTCTATTACAATTTAACTAATTTAGATATTATAATTTACATAAATTCTTCAATAAGTACTGTATTTACATGATAAATACTTATGAATAGCTATACCTACATACATTAAACACAAGTAACAGTTCAAGATTTTAACATTTTAATATTACTTTAACATAGAATTTTAGTTTTAATACATATATTATGCCATGTTCAAATTCCAGATATATATTATTATATGTATCAAAATCAAATACGTTTTTTTAACTCTGAAAGAACCAAATTTGTGTTCATTGATTTAATACTTATAAACTTCCTGTAGTTGCCCATGTCAAGAGAAAAATTATCATTATAAGCATTGAGGTTATTGCCTATTTACCTATTGCCTTCGGACTTCTGATAAATAATTATATTATACCTAATACATTAATACCTAACTAAAACTTAATTTTATCAAACTGAAAAATGATTACCTACTTCAAAGAAATTATTCGTTTAAAAATTTAACTTATGAGGTATTTCGTTTTATAGTTACTAACCTTAATTCAATATCTCACGAATTTAGATATTCTTGTTCACACGCTTGTTGTGTTTTATACCGTTGAAGTTTGAAACTTTGGCCGTCAAAATATTGTATAATATTATTATGTAGAAAACCAGCGATAAATTTTGGTATTGTTTTACCATTGTCTTATAATGACTCGTGTACAGTGTGTACTCATAAAGTTAGTCATAAATAAGTTTTGTCTCCGAAGCATATCTTTAAAGACTTGATGTACCATTATAATATGTTAATCGGCTGTAACCATAGATTTTGGATCTACATGAACTGTTTAACATTTTTTATTTAGCTTTTTTGTAATTCCTGCAATTTAATTCATTATTGGAATTTGGAACAGTGCAGTATAAAAACCGAGACCTATCCACCTATAGTTTAAAAAAGTAAATTTCAAGTCATCGCCGTGTGAAAAATAGTTTCCACTAAATTATTATAACATTCATTTTTGGGGCAAGACTTTAGTAGGTTATATATTGTTTGCAAATTGTTACTAATCAAGCAATCATTTTTATTTTTAAGTCTGATTTTAAAATTTTAATTAGGAACGCCGAACGCTATGCTAATGCCTAATGGACCTTTGCGGTTAACTATTAGTGATAACAAGTGGTTTATTCTGTTATTCATATTTTAAAAGACCCACTCTTTATTATTTTGAATATCAATACCTATCTAGTTCTTGATACTTCATGACTTATGAAACATAATTTATTACTTTATGAATACATTATGATTTTTTCTAGTCAATTATCTAAAAGTTATTATAATATTTTTCTCAAGAATATAAAAAACTCCACACAACCACGACAAACCACCCAAATCCGTTTATCCCTAATCTTTGATCATTATCTGTTCCAATCTATAATATTAACCTCTCTTAGCCCTCTGCATTACTAGTTAATAATAATAAAATACAACTGGCCAAGAGACCTCCTAAATAAATGGTATAAAAAGAAAAAAAATCATACCTAAATAATGCGTTTTAAAATTAAGTGGACATCTTTCAGTCTTCACTGAAGCAAACACGTCCAAAATTGAACATAACATTTACTTATTGTATTGTACTTGTATATAATAATATTATATTTAATAGTAAAAGAAAAAATGTTCTTTAAACTTATTCAAGTATAAAATATAAAGCTGTAGACTTTAGATCTGTAGCATTTGAAATATTGTTGGTTGGTTAAAAATACATTTTCTATAAAAGGTGGGACACTCTACTGTAGAGTAATCGTCAAGCATGTCATTTTAATGGATGTGTATTTTGAATTCTAGGATAAATCCTTGCATACGAAACACGTGCTTTGAGCGGAGACGTGTGTCATCCTGCATCCTTGCATACTTGTATAAATAATCTAATTCAATAATTTAAAAAAAATTAATAAAAATCGAAAATATCTCATGGCTATACATGGTGTGTAACTTTCCAATGAACTACTTTGTATGATAAAAATAGAAAAAACTTGTTGGGAATCTTCCATCAGAATTTCTAATGTTAGATATTAAAAAACAAATGTTTATGTGTTTCTAACTGAAAAATATTTTACAAAATTATAAAATATCTTATGGCTATTGTAAACACATACATTTACGCTAGGATCAGAATCTAAAATTATTAACACGTTAATTATCAAGTAAAAATCATTGTATTCGATAAGTGATTTTAAAATTAATTTTTTCCAAAAATTAATTAGTAATTTATAGCCATGTGTGATGTTATTTAATATTTATTTGAAATATTTAATTTATACCTACTTTTAGCTTTTAAGTACTATGCATAAGTGAAAGTTTAGATACGTTATAGACAGTGGCGTATTTACGGGGGGGGGGGGTCCCCGGGTCTGGACCCCCCCCAGAAAAAAATATAATATAATATAATTATTACATCGTAACTCGTATGTGTTTTTTTTATATTATAAACTTGTAGGTACCTAATATTTAGACCCCCCCACAAAAAATTTCAAAATACGCCACTGGTTATAGAAGCATATCTGCGTATCATAAGGTATCTATTATATACATAATAATACATTTGTTTTGATATTTGGAAATTACAAATTAAAAAAAATAATAATATTTTCACTTGTTGAGTACCTATTTCAAATTTTCATGTCAAACAATTGAAAACAATAAAAACATATAATTGAATTAGTTAAATAGTACTATCTTAAATCGTGGTAGGTAGGTACCGTATACATAACCTTAAAATTAATAAAGTAATAAATTAATTTTAAACTGAATAAATAACAGCCAAATTATTTGTTGCAAAACATAATTTATTATTAATATCAATTAATCGTAAAACAGTTAACCATAACCAAAAAATAGTCCAGCCATAATATTGAAATGAACGTAAACCAATGAGTGACAATATTTCTTGTTTAATAACATACCCAGTCCAAAATTATTAAAATGTATTAAAACATCAAATTATTTCCGAAGGTCGTTTTAATTGAACTATAACTACAAAACAACCAAAATGTTGATGTTTTTTATCTGTTAAAATATAGCGAAGCTTATATAATCCATAAGCAAATTCCTTAGGGATATAATTGAGATTCTCCAAGTTTGATGTATTGAAACCCGTTGAAATGTAACAGCCCTTAAAAATAATAATTTTTTTTTAAACATAAATAGGTATCTAATTCAAAGGTATGATCGTTTGATATTTTTACATTTCTAATGTTTCACATTTTTTTAATTTCTAAAAATGTTGACTTAAAAATGTAAATTAAAATTTCTAAAATTTTTGTTTTAAATATATTTCATCTCTAAAAATGTTATAATATTTTTAGATAAATAACGATAATGTATAATTTACATACCACGGGTATGGGGTATTTAAAATTGAATCCAAGTCCACTAGTATCAATTTTACTCATAATGTTCTTTGATGTTGTATATGCTTGTTCTGCATGGAATATATATGTATTGTTTTTCCAATCCCCATCAGCCCCTCTGATGGAAAAATTAACATCCATCTAAAGAAATAAAACTTCAAGTTTATTTTAGTTTATATAAATAAAAAAAAGGTAACACAAAATGTATAGTCCGGGTACAGGGAGTCGGTAGAGGAATCAGATCCATTTGAAGTTACTTAGAGATAAACTATGAAAATATTAAATATATTAAAATTTAAAATCTACTAAGAGTATTAAAACTTCAAACTTATTTACAAAATAATTAAATAAATATCATAAATTATCGAATACCTAGTAGGTATAATAGGTATAGTAGCAGTGAAACAGCCATATTATTAGCGAATTCTTGAGGTTGTTGAATTGCATGATTATTAAATATTGGCAAGGTGATTACTTATATAAGTTTACTAAAGGACTTAGTAAAAGTTTTAATTTTGTATTACCTATTTTTAAAAATATTTTGGTATAGGCTATGAAATTATAAACGATCTTCTTGAAACTCATCTTAGAAAATATATGACAACACACAAATACACAATATAACTCATTATGTAAACATTATTATCTTACAGAAAGGTTGTCATCAAATGGCATTAATAGTGTTGCATTTCCTTTAATTTCCTTTGAATTATCAGATGTTTTATTTAAATAATAGTTTATATGTATATTATTTTGACGCGTCGTATTGCAACTATAAATTTTTTTGATGTCGATTCGGTATTCACCCTAAAACAATATTATAAATTACCAATATTAAAATGATTTTTTATTGTTCAACTATAAAAAAATCAAAATAAATGTTTTTAAGCATTTATAAATTTCCACAAATTATCACTGATTCTCTTAGTAAATATTAATGAAAGCTAATGAAAAAATTAAATAAACTCGAACACCAATTGGATCATTGGATCATTTATTTTGCTGTAAAACTGATATGTATCCCAATCATATTTTAATACTATTAAATTCTTATTTTCTATTTTCTTTTAATTTATTAGCTTATAAACTATTGTGTAGTTTATACTACTTTATAGTACATATTTATTTCATTAATGAACAAAATAATTTTACATGATTTAAAACTCAAATAGGTAGGTACTTAACATTTTGGTTTTACAGCAACAAATAACAATGTTAGCTAATCATTATATATTTATATGTAAATATGTTCAATAGCAATATAAGTAATAAATATACTCATCTACTTACAATAGGTAGCTTTAAGAGAGGTTTGTTATTGGTTCTTTCTAGTTTAACACGACTTACAAGAATTAAAACGAATATCACCGAAAGTTTCATGTTATAATATTTTATTAACACGTATATTATTATATATCCAAAGTAAAATCCTCTTTTTGCCAAAAAAAATTTGAGTCAATATTTTATATACTTAACAAACAATACAATATTTTAATCACATTTATTAATCTTGTTTCAGATATTCTTGTTAAGATCGTTTATTATTGTAATTGTTTTTTTTTTGTTTTTTTTTTTTTTTGAAATGTGTTTAAATATCTATGGTATGAATCAACCTATTATTAATATTACAATACGTAGTTAATTATCGATTGGGAATACATGATAAAATTGTATTATATACATAGGTAATAATTATGTTATATCAAAAGAAATCAATATATTTTCAATAGGACATTATATTATGTACACGATACTCCAATTATTTATACTTATTTATTTTGTATTGCTAGTTCACAAATCAACTTCATTCCAAGGCTTATAGGTATAAGGTAACGTCATATGATTATATAACAAAGTTATAATATTGTATTAATGATGTTGCGACTAATTAGCTGTCGTCACTCGTCTGTCAAATACTAATACAGCATTACAATTTATATATTAAATACATATTATATTTAATAAAAATAAACAGAAACGAAACAGCATTAGTTATTATTTTTACAAACTTTTTTTTATATTAAGCAAACTAGGAAACAATTTAGCTATTAGAATTTAATATTAATATAATTTGGTAATAATATTTGGTAAATTTGTAGCACATTTTTTTTTTATAAATTGAGTACCTAGAGCATATTTATTGTATCTTTATATTTATGCACACATATAGGTATACAAACCATGGTTTATATTATAGTCAATGATATTATTATAAAAAACGAAGTGCCTTTTTTATATCCGGAATAATCTCGGAAAATACCCAATGGAATAACGGATTCAATCGTGGTTTTTTCAATTTAAAAAAGAACACTACAGAGAAGGTTATAAGCATATTTTTCTGGTCCCCAATCCTGTGTACGGAATAGTGAGAGATAAAATAGTGATACACCAGTGGTGCAATCTGTCCAGAACAATTACATTAAAAAAGTTAGAAAAAAATGGCAAACCTTTTTCCCTGTCGAAGTCAGATAATATAGTTAGGGGAATATTGTCATGATGAATATTGTATTAACTTAAATTTGTTCATTTAATAATAAATATTATGAAAATCTATAAATAAAAATAACGATTTGCCACTTAGCTGAATTTCACCAAACCCGAGGTTCAAAGATATAGCGCCTTTAGGTTGTTCATTTTTTAGAGGGAAAAGTTGGGCTATACAGCTAGTATTACCTATTTAAATACGTAAATAATAAAATAGTGTAGGACCTTGATTTTTCTATTTTTTTCTGATTAAATCTAGAATGGTAGAATTGTATTTGAATGTTTTATGTGGTTCACACAAAATAGATTTAAGGTATGTGTATAATTTTGAAATGTAGTGCATTAGTTCATGTAGTCTCTGTGAATCATTGAAAATACATAAATATAGACAGTTTTATTTATTATTGAACAATATTTATGTCAGAAATTTGAATATAGAATTGTCTACGTATATTTAAAAAAAAATAAATTTTAGGAAGACACATGATGTCTTGGTGACATAGGTAGTTGAGAGTTTACTAAAAAAAAAATGGTATTTTTTGTTATTTTCTGTTCAAAATAGCTTAAAACAAAAAATACAGTTTTGTGAATGACAAAGTATTTGAATGAAATCGCAGTTTTCAAAAACAGCGATCACAATACTACGAAATCAATATTATAGCAACAGCTCTACAAGCAATACTAGTTAATTGAATGAAAATGAAAATATTTTACGCCCATCTGATAATACTGTAGATAAAAATGCCTTTATACCTCAGTAGCTCACTCATCCGTTCTTTACTCGAGTATGTACCATTAATTTGGGAGAATAATAAATTGTATATTATAATATACTAAATAATTATTTACATGGTAATCAACTTAAACAAATTCAAAATTAACTCCATTGCTTTATGTTACCTTATATGTAACAAATTCAATATCTATGTTTAGAACACCCTACACTGGTTACAAAAATATTTTAGAAGTTTTAAATTTTAAACATTGTAAAGTACATAGAAATATTGCTTACAACGTCTATTGAAATTAATTCGGTATTTAATAATGAGATCGATGACTCGGTTCTAAAAAAAAGCCTGATACATTTTAAAACAAATAGCCACACAATTCGCATTAATTATTTATATTATATTTATAATCTCCCATATCATAACTACATGTTAAATCGCCAAGGGTGCAGATTCACCCTGTTTATATTTAATGTTTTAATAATCTAATTTTTGATCCATTAAATTAATTTATTGTATAAATATTGGCTTTTTATTTGTAAATTTCCTTATTTTATTTATAACTATACATAGATATTAGATTCTGAGTAGAGCGATGAATGTATTGTTTTTACAACGTACCTATGTAATTTTTTGTCACCACCTTTTGTCTTTTAGGGTAATAAAAATGCTTAAGTTTTAAACATTGGGGGTGGTTTTTGGTAGAAAACTGAATCTGGATGGCAGGGCCGTATTCAGAGCAGGGCAAGAGGGCATGGGCCAGGGGCGCAATTCTTAGAGTTCTAAGAGGGGTGCAAATTTCAATACTACTTATGTAATATTTTTAACTTAATATTTGAAAAATGTATATTTATTTTAATGACTTACTATAGAAGAGCCTCGCTCTATTTTTATTATATAAAAATTATTTATGTTGATGCCTGTGGTGGAAATGCATGCGAGAGTTTTGACCGGTTTGTATTATATTTTTACGCAGGTTTGATTTAATATTGATATGCGAATCATATTCTCATAAAATAGATTAGGTATGTACCTATGTATAATTATTAAGGGGATTGGAAGCGACGATTTTCTGTCTTTATCTAACACACGTGCAACATAGGATTATAGACGTGTTCTATTTCCAACGTACCGATTAATCTAATGAAGCGATAAGAATTCTGAAAACAGATTTTAATTTGTCGGCAAGTCTACTTGAGATCGACTTTCCCACATTTTTGATATTGTCCCACCAAAATCATAAAAACGATATATTAAAAATAGTAATTAAAAAATTTACATATTTCAATTTTGGAGAAGTTTAAATCAAAAAATCAAAAATGTGGGAAAGTCGATATCAAGTAGACTTGCCGACAAATTAAAATCTGATTTCAGAATTCTTATCGCATCATTAGATTAATCGGTACGTTGGAAATAGAACACGTCTATAATCCTATGTTGCACGTGTGTTAGATAAAGACAGAAAATCGTCGCTTCCAATCCCCTTAAACGGTGAACTACGTAGTTCTTAAAATAGACAATAGTATTATCGTTTTGTGATGTCGGCCGTCGGCTGTCGGGCCAGTCGTATTATCGACTTATTGCTATTGCATTATTATATTCTTTCTTAAAATAAAGCCGTCAACAAATTATTATTGTCTAGTACACTCAAAGTACAACGGTTTTAATTTCTGTCGAATTACTGCCGAGTGTCGACGTAGTTTCGTAGACGTAAAATTTACGTAAGTACAACATTATGGTAATTCATTTTTCTAGCTATTAAGCAATCGCACTCGTACCAACTATAATATTTAAGAAGAATAGTTGAATTAAATTAAGGGTCCCGGTGCCGGTTTTCCAAAATGTCCATAATTTTATCAAACTTGAAAATAATATTTACAAGGCGGTATCGTTATTCCCGCATTCCGCAGTGTTTTTTTGAGGACAAAATGGAATCGGCACCAGGTGCCTTAATTTAAGTTATATTAAAGAGTATTTATTTAAAGATTTCTATTATTTTTATAATGTAGTAATTGTTTATGTACCCGTTGAAGTAATATAAATACATTAATATAAATTATTAAAGGTTATTAGTTATTACTTGAAATATTCTATGTATTGTTATTTGTTACATGTTTTATATATTTAAAAAATATTTTGTTTTTTTTTTTTTTTGGGGGGGGGGGGGCGCAAATGCAGTGATTCGCCAAAGGCGCCTCCAAACTGTAATACGGCCCTGCTGGATGGTACTATGATGGTACCACAAAATAATCATATAAAACTTTTCAAAATAACCGAGAGAAATAAAAATAAAAATAAAAATGAGAATTTTTACACAAAACCAGTATTTGAAAAAATCGATTTGGACTTTTTGGTGCGACTCAAAAACAAATAAACTTAGGTACTTGAAATTTCCTCGAAATGTTTGTATTAGTATTTCCTAAAAAATAAATGATTAATTTATAATAAGTGGATTGGTGGAGGACAGTTTTTAACGAGTTCAAAATAGTCAATTTTCTAATTGCATACACGCGAGTTTTGTAAATGTTTGAGTAGTAACTAGTTATCTATCATTACTGTAAATGTGACTGTATAATGTAAAAGAAATAGAAGACCGTGCCTGTACATGTCACCGTCTTGGCATTGCGAACATGAACGGTAAACAATTTATGCTCATTTGCATGTAATTTTTGCCTATCTTACAGATCGATTTAATATATAAGTAAATATATAAATATTTGAGAAAACTGATCTAAATCTGTTATAATGTCTACATGAGATCGAATTTTTTTTTTTTTTGAACAAAATGTATATTTTAATCTGTATTTACACGTTATAGGTAAATTTCATATTGTTTGATTAACGGGAGGGGGAAGTAACCCAATGGTCAATGGCATCAAGTATATTTAAAATTTAAAAATGGTTCTTATTTATTTTATTTATTTTTCTCGTTTTAGATTCTGAGTGGAACGATGAATGTAGGTATTGATTTTACAATGATGTGTGTTTTTTTTTAATTTTTTAATTTTTTTTTGAGTCTGTCATCACGTTTTAGGACAGTAAATGTGCTTGGATTTTCTTCAACAGTAGCTTTCTGATAGGAAAGTGAATCTAGTTGGTACTTTGGGGGGTCGAAAGTGAAAATTTCCCAATAGTTTTCAAAAGCGGCGTGAAAAACAAAATAAAAAT